AGGGGAGGAGAGTGTGAGGGGGTTGATAAACGTGGCTAGTCGGGGTTCGTTCATGTTGAGATGGCCAACTATTCCGACGCCACGAACGGGGGTAAGGGAGGAGACGGAGTTGCGAATAACGCACCACATGTCGGAGGCCTTTGACTGTGGCTTTTTTATGGGCAGGGTTGCGAGGAGAAAATGTTTCAATTCGTGTATGCATATGTTCAAATGCATTGTGAAAGAAACTGCGGCAAGGAAGGGGCGTTTTGCTGTTGATGTAACGAGGGGACGGACGATGGGAGGATGGTGTATGATAACGGCTGTTGCATCGTGGGAAGGATCTCTCCGTATTTCCGTATTGAGAACCGGAATTTTGTTTGTTGTTCCGAGTTGGGCATAAAAAAAGTGTTGTCGTCGGCTCTCTTTCGTAGGTCTCGGCTTCGTGAAAGATATGGTTCTGGAGACAAACTTGAGCAAGGATCTATTTTTTATATGTTTTGCGCTCGTGTCTGCCGCATGGAATTATTGAGCGGCGTGCGCGTCGTTCGGTCCGTTGGCATAAAAAAGCATGCCACCGGTAAACACAAAGAACGCAAACAACGTTGTTCAGATTCTTGATATACAGCTGTTGGTTGAATATTGTAACGAATTCATTTTTTCAGTGTCGTTGTTTCGTATGCATACGTACGGCAAGCGTTCGGTCGGTAGTTGTTCAGCGGAGCAAGACCAGGTGGCTGGTGGGGGGGGTCTCCAGTGAGCTACATGTAAAAGACGTCGTGCTTCTCGATATTTTTTTGGTTTCTTTGTCGCGTAGTGGCGTTCGGTGCTGTTATATTTCCCGTCTCGTATTTTTTCCTATTCGAGAGCACTTCGAGCGGAGGCACCCACCTGTGGTAGCGAATGATCAAGCATGATACGGGGACTCGGTCCCCCTCTTTTCTTACTCCGTTTCCACTCTGCTGCATCCATCCCGTTTCATGGATCGAAATCTGAGCAATGCACCTCGATGCTGTGCGTGCGCTAAGCCTCACGGTCCCCTTCTGCCCGAGGAAGGAGCATACAAACACCGTCGGTCGGTAGACCGGCTCTTTGCGTGGCATGGTGTCAAGAAGAGGCTGGGTTTTGGGCGGGGCCGGGCGGCTCCACGCGCCACACGCTCCACCCCGTGGAATCTGCCAGAAAGAGAGCGGCTTGTTGTTTGCTTCCGGTGCGTGTGGAAAAGATGGTGTTCCTGAACCGGTTCGTGAGAGAATTCCGATGTGCGGGGACGGACAGGTTCTCCCTCCGTCGCGTAGACTTGCCACTTTTTACGGGAACGGAAAACAACACAACCCGTTGTACCCCGGTATTTTATTACTCACACACAATCGTACGTCGAAATTCCGGTCAACCTCGCAGGAAAAAAGAAAAGAGCGCCGATAATTTACCTACTCTCTGCACAACGACATGTGACACTAGCGCGGAAAAGGAACCGGCAATCACACCCCATCACCCATTCACGACTACTTTGCCCCCTGAAACGTGCTCGACGAGCTTCAGCGCTGCAATTGCGGAAGACGTTGTGGTACGCATGGACCGCTAGTACTGCTGTGAAGCGAGTGCGAAGCCACCACCGCTCCGAACCAAGCGCTAGCGACAGTAACGCTGTAGCCATCGAAACACAAAGGGAAGGCATATCAAGATACGTTACAGTTTTAATCAGTTCACAGACGGAACAAACCTCGGTAGTTGGCGGAGGCAGATCGAGGCATCCATCCATCTGGCCTCACCCTCAGGAGAAAGCCGCCATACTCAAACAGAAATCCCGCAAGTAGAACACGAAAACCAAATCAAACCCTCTATACATCCTTCATGACGGGAGCAGCGAACAACTGCCGCCGATAACCAAGCACTCAAGTGTCCAACCCTCAAAGCACGCACGTGAACGACTGCTGCCGCTCTGCTACCGGTCGGTGCCACCACCATATTTCAGAGGATGGGATCCGTCCCATTCCAGTCCACGGTTGCCTCGGGCCATCTGGTTCGGATGACCAAGTCCAGCGGGGGGATCAGGGCATCGTTTGCCTCGTTGTAGGTTGTTAGGGGAGGGGAGCCATCTCCTCCGTCGTGCCGCTGGTCCACCGTGAGGCGTATCGTCTGTTGAGGACACATGTATGCATGCGGAGAGAAACGAGCGGAAGGCAGAGGCCATTTTACTATTTGAAACAGACCACACTACAATGAAATTCAACTCGGTCGGTTAACACTGCAACGTCTGCATACTTCGAGGTATATAACAGCGAACAGAGTGATATCGATCTTCTCTGTTGGAAGAAGAAACACGGCGTGTACTAATAGGCGGCGGGACAAGACAGGCACGCAGGATGGTTTCAGACGTGGCGCAGGTGGCACCCCTGCAAACAAACCACCAGTGAACAAGGAAGGGGAGGTAAGAACGACCTTAGACGCCTCCTTCACGACTCGAAAAGCACAAGGAATATGTTAGTTCCGCACCACAGCTAAATAGTCCACGCGATCTCCACCAGCATATTTTTCCATGCTGTTCTCGGTTCATGTACACATATTTAACATTCAACCAGGTGCCCAATTCCGAGGCGAACGGCCCTGTGGTGCGTCACCGGCCAGCAAGAACGTAAGGACCCCTCAAACCACTCTCCCTGCCAACTTGGCAGGGCGCAGACCGTTGCCCGTGATGAGACGCCATGTTTGGAAAACAGGTCAGGCGGGGGGGTTGTAGTGTGAAGGTTACACACACGCATGGTGATCGCCGGGGGTGTGACAGGCACAGGGAACCGGCACCAATCAATCTTGCGGTGTAGACTAGAGGGTATCCTCCACCAACGGCAAGGCGCACGACACAGCTAAGATAAATGATACGCCAATCACGCAGAGGCGCCCTGGCAATGGTGTGTGGTCTTTCGTCGTGAGAAGAAGGCCTCAGGGCACGGTCAGTACCGGCGACGTGGTAGTGCCGCCGAAGCGACCCCAAGGGCACCCGGCAAGGGTTCGCGAGAGGCGCCCGCGGGACGCGGAAGTGCGGCGAGATTTACCCTTGCTTCCTCTCGCGTGTGCCGAGCCCCGAGGGAAGGAACAAAAGCTGGGACTGACCTAAAAGAGGGAGAAAACATACCCCCCCTTGATGGCGCCACTACTCTTACTTCAGTCCGGTGTGTTCGTGCAAGAGCTGTGCTACAAGACATCGCGGTCCCGGGGACCGATGTTACCGAGCCGGTTTATACCCTCCTGTCTGACTTCCAACTCCAACCCCGTTGTTCGAAACGCGTATCTACCACGTACTAATCCATTTGGGAACTCGCCAGCAACAGCGGCAGGGCCACCGGCAATGCGCGAAACACCGTCCACGAGTCGGGGGGCATGTCTTACCTCGTCCTGCCTCCCCAGGCCGTCGTAGTACTCCAGATCAAACGCCTCCGCTCCGTCGGTCTCGCGCCCACCCGACCCATAGCCGCTCGCCGCCGATCCGCCGTTCCCTCGACCGCTGCTACCAGCAGCAGGGGCACTTTTTGCGGTGGCGCCGCCACTGCCTCCCGCGAGCTGTCTTCTAGAGTCCTCCCGCGATGCTGTCGTCGGTTGTGGTGGTGGCACGATAGAGCTGTCGACGCCGAAGAGGACGGAGTAGTGGCTCTCGCTGCACACCACCCAGATCGGTGTCTCGGGGTTCTTGAGACGGTCCCCAACCTTTGTTGCGACAAGCGTGAAACAGGGAACGGGGGCAGATTGTCTGACGAAAACGTCGCCGTGGCAACAGAATGACGATGGACTGCGGAGAAGAAAAAGGTCCGTTGGTGGACCCGTGGCTCCTGTACAGTACGCATTTCTTGCCTTTACCACCATCTCCGATTGGTTTAGTAGGGTCTGAAGGCTCAATGCTGTCCTCGATCCTGCACACAGCGGAAAACCGCGACCTACAACCGTATCCTATCGTTAGTTATCCCTTCGACAGACTTCTTACGGGCCTCTCAGGAAGCAAAGGAGGGAAATCGTTGGAGGCTGTCTCTGTGCGCCATACTGGACCATAAATTTGTTACAGCAGTGAGCGACACGTGGGCAAGGAAGCGAAACTCTACAATATGTGAGGCCCTTCCGCCCTCCTCCATACACCTACGTTTGATCGCGCGCCTACATACACACCTCAAAGACGACGACAAGAGCCTTTTCTCTCTCGGGAAAAAAAGACAGACAGCAAGAGTGGTGACACAGCAGTCCGTCCACCATGAGCCCGGCTGCCCACCACGAATACCCGTCAAAGACAGAATCAAGAGACACGCACTTTCTTCTCTATTTTAGCGCCGCCCGCTCTTTACACACACCTCCACATGTTTGTAGGCCTCAAAAAGAGTGAGGAAACCCACTCTGCCCCTCTCTGACACCCCCCTCAGGACGACTCGATCATCGCCCCCTCCTTCATCTTCCTCCTTCTGGTGCCCTTGCTTTTGGCCCCTCTCCCCGTCTTCGCACCCTTCTTTCCCTCCTGCCCCTGCCTTTGCACCCCCGCCCTCGCCACCCATGACGCGGCAACCGTCGAAGACGTTGGAGCGCGCGCGTCCCACGAGCAACAGGTTTACCAGTTCCTGCGAGGAAGAGGCGTCCGCGTCAATTGGTCAGGTAGGCGACGATGCTAGCACATACTTAGCAGCGACCAGCAAGTCTTTCATCAAGTCGAGACAACAACAACAACAACAACAACAACCACAACAACAGTAACAACTGCTTGGACGTATGCATATGAATTGTTCGATGTTGCGCGTGGCACCTGGGAGGCATAACCATGGCTGGCCATCAGAGGGGAAGGTTCGTCGAAGCTGTTGTCCATGTCCCCGCGGACGGCGTCTACACCCCTGCTGAAGACGCAAGAATACACCAGCAGGATCACACCTTGGCCCTGCGAAACGCGGAGTGCGTGCCCCGAAACATTAGCGACAAACGGCAGGGGTTAGCAGAGGCGATCCTTGCGGGGTGGGGGGAGGTGGGAGGGCGGCCAGGTAGGCTTTGCTACGCATTTATCGTGGCAAACACCATGGGCCCTCGCGATGCACTTAACCGGACATATATGTTTCGCCGACTAAGCCAGGGAGACCTGGGAGGTTGTAGCCACCCCAGTTGTTGGAAAGGTTGCTCTGATGTTGGCCACAAAACGTACATTTGAATGTAGAGACCGGTGGTTTGCCACCCCCTCCCCCCCTATGCGACTCAGCTCTCGTCTGCCAACAACCTGCTCAGTTGTCACGAACACGTGGTGTGGGTGTAAACTAAACGGTTTCTTCGACCATACTTGCTTACATATAGTAGAGGGTATTCCCTCAACAGCTGACGCTTCTTTCCGTCAACCTGTACCTTCTTCATGCACGGACCAGAGGTTATGTGAGTTTTCCCGTGAGTCTCTTTACCCCGCCCCCCCCTCCCCCCTCGGCCTTGTTTGCCATCGGGGTTTGGGTTTTCGTCGCTTGGCAACGACGTTGTAAAACAAGCCGCCCCCCCCGGTGTTTGCCATCGGGGTTGGGTTTTCGTCGCTTGGCAACGACGTTGTAAAACAAGCCCCCCACTCGGTGTTTGCCATCGGGATTGGGTTTTCGTCGCTTGGCAACGACGTTGTAAAAGAAGCCAATTCACTTCGTGAACTCGGCAACCAGGTTACCGTTTTTTTTTTTGGCGGTAACCAAAATGGTGGTCGAGTAGATCATGTTGTGCGGGGTCGAGAACCCTCACTCCGCGCAACGGGGGATGATCGCACCACGTTGTGTTAAAATGGTCAAGCTTCCTCGAGGCAGTTACACAGTGCTTACAACTGTCAATGGAAGTGAAAGCACCAGAAAATAAACTAAGTCATACGTAGCTGTCATCCGTACGCAAGGAAGTAAGCCAAGATGCCGAACACCCTTAGCAGGATGCAGCTCACCCTTCATGCGACTCGCCAAATACCTCACGGCGCTTCGCGCTTGGTGATGTGAGAGCCTGGTCCGGTGAGAACCCGGCGTGCTCCGTCCCGGCTTTGTAGGGATGCGAGGTCAATGGTCAAACGACTACGGCATGCACGACTATGAGTACACCCCCCCCCCCCCCCACCCCCCCCCG